GGTTCAGGGTTTCGCGGGTACCCCTGCGGCGAGGATGGGCAGCGGCCGCCGGGCGGGTGCAAGCCCCGGTCCGCGGTAGGATGGAAAGGGGAAAGGAGCCGGGGTTAAGATCCGCACGGCCCCGCCGCCCTCAGGCGATGCTTGCGGCTCCGCATCACGGGGAGCTCTGCGGGGGAGCACCCTGGATGCGGACGCTGCTCGTGTCGTGAGCAAACCCCATTTCGCACTCCGGAGCGGCATGCTAGGGCTTGTGAGCAGCGGTTGCCAAACGGTGGTGGTGATTAAAGTCACAAACTCAGAGCTGAGCTGGTGTTTTGTCTGATAACTGCCCTCAGCCTTGGGAGAAGTCACCTTGCACAAGGAAAACTACAGCCCTTCAACTGCTCCTGCTACGGCTGACATTTATGGTACAAAATCCGGTTAGGGCTGCTTTACTTAATCCCTGGACTCCCTTTTACAGCATTGCATAAACGGCATTAGAGCTCTCCTAGACTCTTCCTCTGTCACTTGCTTCATCTTTTAATTTTTTTTAAATCTTCAGTTTTCTCCTTCACTCCTTGAGCCACAACATTGCCTTTGCCGTCACACAGATCTTGTTTTCCTCCACATGGTTTCTTACAGTGTTTACATCCTCTCATAATTTACTGACAAAGCTACCCAGCTCTCCTGAATCCTGCTACCAGGTGGCAACAAGGGAATGGATAGACAATTATGCATTTACAATTGAGATCTTGTTTAGTAACTGAACTGTAACAGTTTATTTGTTTGATTGCATTAATTAATTTGGTTCCCAGATTCTTGTTTATTCACTTATTACATCTGATTTATATTCTAGCTTGCAAGAGCATTGAGAAAGGAAGCGTCTTGATGTTGCTCAGTAAACCTGATGTGCAAATAAAAAGCAGTAACTAATTTGCACAACACAATTCAGCACTTGAGGTTTTCAAATTCACTGAGTTTTATGGTCTGATTCAGGAATATTAGTTTATGTAATGAGGATCTATTAAAGCTTTTATTGCTGTTTTTATGTATGACATTTCATTGTTGTTTTCAAGTATAAATGAAATAAGAATGAGCACGAAGGTGTGCAGGACAGTACTGACAAAGTGTATACTCTAAGACAGCCAATTTGGATGGCCTATATACAATTTCTGATGTGATATTAGAATTACACTGGATTTGAGTAATGGAAGTAATTTTGTTAGGACATAAGAGCTTGGGAAAATTGTTTTTCTCTAATCAGAGAGCTTTATTTTTATCAGACAACAGGGGTCAAATTGCTGTATGTGAAGCGTAGGCTTTTCAATCTGATTCTTCCAGTTTCAGCTGGTATGACACAAGGTAGAACTTCTCCTCTTCGCTAAAACTAATCTGGGCAAACATAAAACTAGTACTGTTTTCTGACTCTATCCTGGGGTCCCTCACTTTCTTAGGACTGAGCATTTCTATCAAGAAAACCAGCTGTGGAGTTCTTTTCTGTTTTCCACAGCTTTATTAAGCCAAAACCCAAGGACCAAACAGCTGATGGGAATGAACTCCCCTATCAGCACTTAGTACAGAGGAAGCCATTTAGAGAGTGTTTGGGACATGCTTGCATAGCCATTGTCCTCCTCTATGAACTGTTGTCATGAGAGTTATTGTAACTTCTTGTGCCGTTATTGTTGTATCTTCTTATAGTCATATTTTACAACATTGCCACTTGTAAAATTTTTTTTTGTAAGCTCTGTGTTTGCTTAAAATTGCCCTTAAATACAGTTCAATGTAAGTATGATGCAGAGTTTTATACTTTGGCTAGCTCAAGACTTTTAAAGAAGCCTTAATTTCTTTTACCTTTAACAGGGAAGGATTTTGGAGAAGACCGGACTTTGCAGTCAAATCACTTTTGGCCGATACGTGCGACAGGGACGGAAACTAGGGCTGGATCCAAAGCTCTTTATCCAGGATCTGCAGTTTAACAAAGTATCTGTGAGGGTTTATCAGCCTAAAGCTCCATCTGATGGGCGAAGGAGAGGTATCATCTTCTTTCATGGAGGAGGCTGGGTATTTGGAAGTCTTGGTAAGATATTTGCTAGAGGAATTACAGTAATTTAGAAATAACATTCTCATCTTTTTATAAAATTGAAGAGGAGGTTTCAGCGTGTGGTTTGGAAGGAGGTCTGAAGACAAATACATGCCTAGCTGTCTCAAAGATAAGGGCGATAGCAAAGCACTAACAAAAATATTTCTTTTCCAGATACCTATGAAAAAGTGTGCCGCTACATATCCAGAGAAAGTGGATCAGTAGTTGTATCTGTTCAGTAAGTGAACCCTACCCAGTTCTATTGTTTGGAGATTATTGTTGCTGTGGTGCCACAGCGGAGCTGAACTGGTTTTGGGGATGTTCTATTTTTGCAGAGAATTTTTTATAGACTTCAGTGAAGTCCATAAAGAAACAAATAGTGATAACTGAGATTTCACGGCTCTTAACTGTTCTTGCCCTGATATACTTGGAAAGGACCCAAATGGAAATATTTGGCACACTAAGAAAAGCTATAAAAGCCAGTCAAAAACTTAGGGAAAAAAGTCTTCCTGGCGCTGAAGATATGAATATGTAATAAGATGCTTCAAACCATTGTGATTTGTAGGAAAAAAAAAAGAATAATCACACTGTGCTACTCCCATTTTACACATAGGAAGCAGAGGCACAAAATGATTAAATTATCTTGTTGAGAATACATAGGGATTTTTCAGCATGACTAAGAAACGTACAAAGTCTCAGTCAGACTCTTAATCAACCCTTCTTTCTGAGTCCCTGTGATTGAATACACAATTTAGAGCTTATCTGCAATCACTAATGGAGGAATGGCAGCTCAGGAGGTAACGAATATCCTGACCTGAAGGAAAACCACCCCAAAATCATAGTGCTGGAAGATAGCATAGAATACCATTTCCTGCTTAATACTAATGGCAGTTCCTTCTCTTCTATTGTCTCTTTCTGTGTACTAGGTATCGTTTAGCTCCTGAACACAAATACCCTGCAGCGTATGAAGACTGTCTTAACGCCACCATACACTTTATGAAGAATGTAGAGCATTATGGCGTGGATCCCACCTGTATAATTGTCTGTGGGGACAGCGCTGGGGGCAATCTAGCAGCTGCTGTTAGCCAGACCCTTGCAGGTAGATCAGACCTCCCCAGACTACGTGCTCAGATCTTGATCTACCCAGGCCTTCAGGCACTGGACTTCAATTTACCATCTTATCATCAAAATAGAGGAGTCCCTCTCTTATTTCGAGAACGTGCCGCTTTCTTTGCTTTGCAGTACCTAAATGGGCATGCATTGCATATGCAAGAGGTCTTGGAGGGCTCTCATATTCCTCCAGAGATGAGGCTGAAGTACAGGAAGTGGGTGAGTCCAGATAACATCCCTGAGAAATTTAAGGTCCGCGGTGTGAAGCCACTTAGGCCTACAGATTTCATAGCTGAAGTTTATGAGACAGTGAAAAGATTCTGTGAGCCCAACCTGTGTCCGCTGTTAGCTGAAGATGCTGTTGTTCACCAGCTGCCTGAGTCTTTCATCTTGACTTGTGAGTACGATGTGCTGAGGGACGACGGCTTGCTTTACAAGAAGAGACTGGAGGACAACGGTGTGCGAGTGACCTGGTACCACCTGGAGGACGGATTCCATGGAATCATAAGCCTTTATGATTATTGCGGTTTCTCGTTTCCATCTGGGAAGAGGGGATTGGACAGCGTTGTTAACTTCCTAAAAAGCTTATAGTAAACATCTTAGATTCCATGAGTCTGTTCATGCCTCAACTTAGGAAAATATCTTTTAGGGTATCTAATAATCAGGTGATGGGTAGTCAAGCAAGGGTAGCCATTAACAATGATACAGAAGGGTCATCAGAACCTCATTCCAGCTGATAGTTGGAACATGGGATATGCAAACCTTATACAGCTTGTACCATGCTGCAAGCCCTTATCTTTAGCTATGTCAATAAAGAGCAACATTCTTTTGAATGGACATCCTGGTTTGTCCCACTTGTTGAAAATGTGTCTGTATGAAGAGAGAGTGTGTGTCATGCAGGTATGTGTGGTGTGTTGGCGTAGAGCAGTGTGTCACTTTTACCACTGTTATGAGATGTACTCTGTACTCTGATTCTGAACTCTATTAGAGGAAAAAAGCCAGCTGACTTTACTGGGTTAGGAGCCATTGTTTTGCTCAACAGTGAGTATGATGTAGCATAGAATGTGGTTACTGGAACAACAGTCACTGTGGGGACAGCAAACACAAGGGTTCCACACACTACCCATGTTTCCTCGCACACAGGCAGGAGGAAGTGGAGCCTCTTTCTGCCATAGTTTTAGCACTGAGTCATCTTTCAGCTACATAACTTGAAGGACAGTTCCAACAACCAGGGAGAGTACAGCTGGTGCGACGAGATATGATTTAATCGCAAAAAGATGGATGGAGATTGGTGGAAAGTTAAACCTCAATACTCTACTAAAGTCCTCATTGGAAACTGGGTGGAAGAGAGGCAAAGGGTAACATGAAGAAAGACGCGTGAGAGCAGGAACAGAGTGGGTCAGAGCCAGTGCTCTGGAGGCAGAGTGCTACTGCAGAGTCCAGGCTCAGCTCAGAAGATGAATAAAAGGGAGAGGGACAAGCATCTTGCTTGGCCTACAGTCATTAATTTTGTTAATCATCTGCCATTCCTCTCTCTAAGCCAGGACAGAGACAAGGCCCTAGCATGGGTTATATTGTGTGGTTCACACCAGACATAACATTACCCAAATAAAAATGCTAAAGCACTTTTTACAGCAATCACTTCAGACTGCTATACAACTTAAGTGCAATTGTACAACAACAGTATATACAACTTAATAATACGTGCCAACATCATACAAGAGAGGCTTCATTAACCTCTCCATGAGTTAATACTTGCATCAGAGGATCTTTAATAACTTAGATACTGATTTCATTTGCTTGTATAAACAAGAGCATCTTTGCTAGCAGAGCTGCTCCATAGATTGCATGTCCTTCTTAAGAGCTAAGCAAAATTTTATTATTAGACATTTAACTTCGTCAAAATACGCCAGTTAGGTTCAATATTGGAGCTGTTAAGGCAAATCCTCCTGACTCTGCTAAAATTACTTCCTTTAGATTATTTTTATTTTTATTTCCTGGAGCAAAGTGCTAGACTATACTGCAGAGTCTGGCCTGCTGCAGCAGAAGTGGGGGCAAATGGACAATAATAATAATAATAATAATGGGTTCATTTATCCTTTTCAGATGTAAGTTCACATGGCAGGTGAAAGTATTTAACACCAAACCATGATTAATTTTTCAAGGGCTGTACAGTATCTTACATTTACACCAAGGAATCAATCCAGAATTTTACAATGGCTGATACCAGCTGACTTTACCAGCTGAAAAAAAAGTACATAGCACAGACTTCTTTCCAAATACGTGCTTTTTAAATGTGTAGATGAAGAAAGCAGCAGTGAACAGAGCTTCTGTGATTATCGGATTGCCTTAGCAATACTGAGTGTTGTGTATCTTTCTAGTTTATAAAACATGCTGGGAAACTCGGCAGCAGCATATACAGCACAGACTACATTTGGTTCCCAGATCACAAACCAAACCAAACACTAAGGAGGAGCATGATAGAAAAATATCAGGTAAGTAAAAGCCATTTCAAATGTAGGGTTGTGTGTGCCATCATACAATCTTTGACTAACACTTAAATCACATTTTTTATCCTTAAACAACTGCATGCATAAAAGAAGGCACCACAGCTCCATGGCCAGTTTACAGTCTGCAGAGCTCCCTTGTATGTGTAATTAGTGTAGGATGCCTTTCAGAGGCAGACAAACAGCACCTACTTCTTGGTGCTCTCTGGTTGTTCCCAATCTCAGCCTCAGGGGGTGACCAGGGCACATGAAGAAAATCAGCATAGTGCCACCAGCTAGGACGGGGTATTGCGTTCTCAGGACATTCTGTGGGTTGCAATAGGAGCTTGCCAGCAAAAGAGGGTTATTTTCATTAGCACACCTCCAGTTCACAGCAATGAACTGCACTTAAATTGTCCCAGATCTTTCACAACAATACCACAGGTATCATCTGCTAGAATGTCCCTTCCTCCAAGGTGCCTCTCCACCCCCAAATATTAATGTCATTCTCTCTTGACAGATGGTAGTACATGCAATGCTAGTGCACAAGGTAACACTTAGGCAACACAAGACAATCAGCTTTTCACTTGCAGGCTTCTTAAATGTATCTGCAAATCTGTGATGCATGTGTTGAAATCAGAGTAATCAGACCTCAGGACATACAGATGTAGTTGCTTAATTTAACTGGGAATTTACTTTACTTGAAATGCAAATGCCAATATCTTCAGGATTAAATTATAAGTAGAAGTAATATAAGTACTGACAAAATTTTGTAATATCACTGGTAGTGCAGTCTGATTCAAGAACATGCTAAGCCATCTGAATGCTATGTACAACGACAAATAGCGTGGTTTCACGTACATCTCATTTCAGGGCCTGCCAAAGCAGCACTTCCTCACCCACCATGATGAACCAAGCAGCCGAAACTTGGTATCGAAGTATGACGATAAATACAACAGACAGGGTTACAACCCTCTGCTGCCTCCCCTCCGCACCTGGAATGGACACAAGTTGTCCTGGATTCCGCAGAAATCGGATTTCCCCATCGTTGGTAGTTTTTGGCATTATTAATTCAATCAGATGGAACACGGTGCAGCAGTCAATATATAGACTTAGAGTCACGGACCTCCTTCTATTTTAATTCTGAAAATGGATCTTGTGGTGATTTCTGGCTACTTTCTTACCCAGTCAGTAGCTTATTTTTCAGACTGATAAAGTGGAAATGTTATCCACACAACAATACTTAGTCATCACAGGAAGCAGTGAAGGATAGTGTCCACAAGCACAGCTCTCTCCCCTATGCAATAATGCAAGACACCAGCTGAAAATAAGGAGAGCTGTGAGACACAATTAGCAGAATTCACCGAGTATTATGATGTTTCTGAATTTAAGTGACATATGCAGCTCTGTTAACTTTTTAAATATCTACCAGAGAGACTATGAAGAATCAGGACCCCTTATATTTATACCATTACTGCTGTCCTATCAATATCTAACAGTGATTTTCTCTGTAGACACACATGCCCTGGGAACAAAAAGATCTGTTTTGTCCTTAATATGCTGTCAAAATAGTACAAACATTCCCTATGACAACTGTGGAGTAAAAACACCAGGACCAAAAATTTAATTCTAGAGTTTCTAACATTTCATAATTTCTTGTCTCAGAACCACCCACCAACTATGGCCTTCTTGAGTACCTGATGAAAACATGGCATGAGGATGAAGGAGGAGTGATGAAGAGTGTCTACACCATTTCCTATAAAAGCCCACCGATTTCTGCTTTTCCTACTCGTCATCTGAGACAACCAGCTAAAACTCATTGCCTCCCTTGCAACCAGGGACATCTTCTCCAAAGAGTTAATAGAATTCTGGACTATGCAGAGACTCAGAAATATCTGCCAGCCATCTGCCAACTGGTGAGAGACAGAAAAGCAAGCGACGCCTCTGTGTAAACTGCTTAGGGTGATCTTAAGTACTACTTAATACAGCTTGTTGTTCATATACGTAAGCGCAATCAGTTCCATGGGGAAGGAGTGAGGATTAGGTTATATAGGCGGAGGGCTGTCTACCAGTTAGAACAAGTTGTTGGTTGCATTCTGACCTGCAGATGGTTGGGAATATTTCAGAAGATATTAAATCACTGAAACAAAAATTTTAATCTGTTGGTTTCTAGTCAATAAATAGTTGCAGTAAGAAAAAACCAAAACAGAGTGAGACTGAACCTGAAAGGATAAAAATCTCTTCGTTGCTTTATCCTTTGTTGTTTTTTTCATTTTTACATAGCTTGCTATACATTTCTTTGAAGAAATAGGAGAAAAACTTGGTTTATTCCATAATACATCTGAAACACCTAAGAATAAAGTAAATGTATGGAATGGCTGCATACATAAGGACAAGGTGAACCAAGGTTTCTCCTAATGCAGTAAGCAAGCAGACCTTGATTGCCCTTGGCTTTACGTACTGAAAGGCACTTAATGGTAGATAAGCTGCAAAGTGAACTGCATTAGCTGACCTTACCTTACCAAACAGTAAACCTAGCAGAAATAGCTGTAGATAGCCTTTATACTGCTGGATAGGCCATCCTGAGACTTTACTCAGCTGTACTCAGAGAAAGTACATGAACAACCTATGTAAAAAGTGCAGACAAAAGTCCAAATTCTTATTGCACTGATGTGCAACTTTTGCATTTAAATCACATTTGGTCGAGAGGAGATACCCGCAGGGTTCAGCTGCTCAACAGTAAACTTGCGGCAAGTTAAAGGCTTAGAGTAAACATATCTGGAATTAATTCAATGCGTATTTATCTCTTCATCCATTTTGCTCAAGATTAGCAATCACAGAATTATTTTTAGGAACAAGATAAAGCAGATACCTTACACTTGGCATGGACAAGCCTCTGATCATGGTCTGTAGAGACTTCTACCTCGGCAACATTTTACTCACTGTGATATAGATTTGCTTTTTCAAGGTTGGATTTTCAACCGAAGGACGTTGACGATTCAGACGTGTGTGTAAAGCAACAGTGGCACCTACTGGCAAAGTGATTTCCACTGATCTGTGAGACGTCCCAAAACATTTTGTGGGAGAGGTACGCAGACCCTCAGTTGGTTACATGAATCAAAACGCAGCAAGATGCAGAGATGCAGGAGCCCTGATGATTAGATAGGCATTATATGAGGGGTTTTTTGGCTTCAAAGCCCCAGGGAGCTCAAAGGCGATTAGAAAAAAATGAAAGCAAAATAGGTGAAAGCCGTCACTGAAACACAGCCAGCTATTAGTGCTGTGTTATAATAAAAACATGCTCTTGAAGGAACATGTTTAAAACAATCCATAAAGAAGGCACACCTTACAATGGAATGAAAACTGGCAGATACAGAAATTCTTGTATCCACTAGAAAGTCCATCCAGGTTAGCTTTATTGCCAATACGACTATACAAAGTGTATTTTTCCATTTGTTACCCATATACGATTATTTTTAATGAAAATAACGATCAGGCATGCATCCTAATGGCACAACAAAGCCCATATAATATTTAGAATACAGCTTACACCATTATACAAAGGCAGTCTTCATTTCACGCAACTCTGTTTGCTCAAAAATCTGGTCATCAATCTTTCATAGTTATGAAATATTTATGATAAATGAAACATTTATGGTTATTATCTACTGTGCTTCTAAAACCAAAGCTCATATATGGAAAGAAATTACCAGCTTGATGTACTGGGAATTACTGAGATGCACATGCACCATGTATGGAATTTGTATGAAAATGTTAATTCCAAATCTGCCAGCTGGGTGGGCAGGGCTCCCCAGGCACAGGTCTAATCTCTTCAACCATTGAGCCTTTTACAAGTAAAACATACAACGATGACACCCAAAGGAAACAGACAAAGCATGGTAGCTAACTGGATAAAACACATTTTGAAAGAGAACTTCTTAAATAGGAAAATGAACAACTCCAGAAGACATGCCAGCTGTGATTAATAACACCCCAGAGCAAAATATCTGCTTTGAACTGTTTAACTAATTAGCTGCTTTCACTTCAGCTAAATTAAATACTATATACACATCACAGATATCTAACAGGCTTTTTGGTGACTCAAGCCTTGAGCTGAGCTCATGACAGGAAGAGACAAGGCTCCTCCATCTCTTGGTCTGAGTTCAGTGAAGGCAGAACCAAACACCAAGCAGCCAGTAACAAAAATGGAATGAATGTATTTTTTTCTCAAACACATTGATCAAATATTCTTCAAGACAAAATTTCAGACAAAATAGTGCTGTCAATTGAGCTTTTCCCCCCCTTTTTTTCTTACAAAATGTAGTTGACCTGCATCATGCCAGACAGAACCCTCAAAACCATAAGGTTGAGCTATTGCTGAAAGCAATGCTACAAACACATGGCTACATCAAGAATATCTCATTTATACTTTCTTGCTGACTGTTTTGATTAGGTTATATTCACAGAATCACAGAATCACAGAAC